GGCAGCCACAGCCCTCACAGCCCTGGAAGGTCCTTCTCCCAGGAGAAATCATGGTGCTAGGCTCAGTGTAGACAATCTTTATTGGCAGGTGTTGAGAGTGCAAAATAGTAACAAATGCAGAGGGATGGGAAAGGAGGCAAAGTACAGCATCCCTTTCCCAAGTGAAGATTGGTGGCCAGGCCAGTGGAGTGGGAGCACTTGCTTGTGACCACTCTGGGCCCAGAACCCTCTGAAGAACAAGTTCCCAGGCAGGAGGGCTCCTCACAGCACGAGGGAAGGGAGCAACACCCCGGAAAGGGGCCACTCTCAACCCAAGATGGTGGCACACAGGCTGCTTGGCTCCTGCCCACCACACCTCAACAGCTGGGGGTAGGGAAATTAGGGGACTGGGCTAAACTATCCCTTTCCAAACCCTCATGCCTCAGTGTCCCTCCTTCCAGTGATTAGCCAGGTTGGATCAGCAGGGCCTGTTACTGGCCCAGCCTGACCCAAGTAGTTCCCATACATATCATATATTTTAGCATTGTGTAGGCGGCAGGCCCTTGGAGGGTGCTGCAATCACTGAGGGCTAGCTCGAGCCAAAAAAACCCTTTGTAGGTCACAGAAATCAACCCAAGATGGTAGCACTGAGGCTACCACCCCAAATATACTTTGTCTCTTGAAGGCAATTGACCCCCAAGGGAAACAGCCCCTGCACCCCCACTGTCATGCTTGTCCAAAAGTGTGGTGCAGTAACTGAAGGGTCCATTTGCCAAGAACCCCAGAGGCCTCACTTGGGGCAGTCTGGTCTGTTTAATTGAAGGCCCATCTTGCAACAGTACTGGGCTACCTGGCACCAGCTGCCTGTCTCTGGTCATGTCCTCCACACCTTCCTGGAGGCCCCACTCCCATGGGAGAGGCCCAGTTCCTTCTGGCTAGGGTCCGAGTCAGTTACAAGGCAGCCAGGTGGGATAGGAGGAATGGGCCCGGGCCAGCAGAGGCTGAACAGGGGTCACATAGTAGTTGACAGTAGCGGGCACCACCCCGTCAGGGCCTGGAGGGTGCCAGGCCAGGGCAGCAGCAGCAGCGGGGCCCTGCTCGGCCAGCGCCTGGAGTGCCAGTGTGGCAATGAGGTCCAGCGTCTGGCGGCGCTCGTGGCTCATGAGGCACACGGTGCTCTCATTGACCACCCGGTGCAGCGTCACCAGGCAGGCGTAGCGGCGGGCAGAGTCAGCCCCACTGAAGTGGGCCTCCAGGTAACGCTCCAGGGTGCGCTGCTGCTCCACCAGGTCTGGGAAGTCTATGAAGAAGCGAGAGCACATGTAGCGTTGTAGGGCACGCACGTCCGTGCTGGGCCGCGGCCGGAAGCCCCGCACCAGGAGGTGGCAGTACTTGAGAAGGCCACCACCTCGGATCTCCTCAGGGCTGCGTGTGGCGATTACGCGGTGCTGCAGGTGCTCCAAGGCCTCGGCGAAGTCCCCGTAAAGGCTCTCACCTGTCACAGTTGGGTGGAAAGCCTCCGACATGGGTGTGGAGGAGCACTGGCCAAAGAGAAGCAGGGAGTCCAGGATGATCTGGAAGGAATCAACACTGAACTCGAACTGGCGCCTGACTGAGTCCACAAACTTGAGTTCCACATTCTTGCCACTCTTGTTGGACAGTGAGATGAGGCTCCAGCGGTCCGTGTCCGTGCACACTTTCACCAGCTTCTGCACGTATGCCTCCTTGAGCGTCAGTGGCGTAATTTTGGCCCTGCTCACACCAGCTGGCAGGAAGTCCAGCAGGCGGGCCAGCACCACCTCCTTGGTCAGTTGGAAGGATGCCTCACTGTGCAGGTCCACGCGGAACACCAGGTCCAGGTCCTTGTAGCCCAAGCCACTCTCTGGGTGCAGCACATGGCTGGCCGCGGAACCATGCAGCCGCACACTGTGCACGCGCAGCCCCTGTTCCTCCAGGCTGCTGCGGACCACCTGCAAAGGTGACAGCAGGAGGGAGAGGTGTCAGGGGTCTGGGCCTTCAGGGCTTCCATGTAATAGTCACAGAAACATCAACCACTGTTGACCACTTACCAGCTGTCATGCCTTTGGAAAGCCATTTAATTCTGTAAACCTTTATTTCCTAATCTGGAGAATGGCCCACTTGGAGGAAAGACTGAGAAAGAACAGCAATAATGACAGCAAAAAGCA